GTGATAAGAGTGTGTTGAAGTCACCAACAATCAATGTGTTTGGGTCTGTTGTGATTTGAGGTCATTTAACGTTTGTGATGAAATTAGGAGCATCTATATTTGGTGCATACGTGTTTAAGATCATGATGTGCCTCTGTTGGAGACTTCCCTTTATTATTATGAAAGGTCCTTCTCTGGCTCTGCTAATTTTAATTTGAAATCTATTTTATGTGATATTATTATTGCTCCTCTGGATTGTTTATGAGGACCATTTGCTTGAAAGACCTTATTCCGGCCTTTCACCTTGAGTAGACTCTTGTTTTGGGAATGAAATGAGTCTTTTGTAAGCAGCAGATGAATGGGATTTCCTTTTGGATCCAAACATCCACTCTGTGTCTTTAATTCGTGCATTAAATCCATTGATATTGAAAGGACAAAGAGATAATTGCTGACTCCGATCATATTACCCAGCCCTTCTGATCTTATTTTATTTACCAAGACCATCACTAAAGGGTCTTGAGCAAGAAGTTAAAGACAGTACACAGGCCCAGAGTTCATGGCCCAGTACCAGCTTTAAAAAGCAAGGAACAAGATTAGTGATGTTGGGGTTGGGAAGGTGGTTCAGTGGTAGAATGCTTGTCTTGCAGGCATGAGGCCCTGGCTTCGATTCCTCAGCAGCACATAAGCAGAAAAAGCCAGACGTGGCGTGATGTCACAAGTGGTAGAGTGCTAGCCTTGAGCTAAAGAGCTGAGGCACAGCGCCCAGGCCCAGAGTTCAGGTCTACAACCAGAAAAAAAAAAAAAAAAAAAAAAAGATGAGTGGTGTTTCTTTTTTGGGTTTCTAGTATTATGCCAGTGAATTGTATAATCTGGAATGGTGAACTTAATGATTTATCTCAAGAAGTATCTTAAATGCTGTTAACTAATTTTTCATTGGTGGCCATTCCCCACTTTCTCCCCTTTCCCTAACCAATTCTGTTCCTATCCTTCCCTAGTACCACCATCCCCTCATCCTATGTCTGGGTCAACAGGAAGTTAAGAAAGTGACTCGTTGCATGTGTGTAAATGCCCAGCCTGGGAATGAATCCTTGAAGTTCATTTTTCTCATGCTCTTCAGTTAATGTCAATGGTTAGAAAAGGCAACATACAGCAGGATTTGTGGAGGAAGATGCAGAACTTCATTTACTATTTAGTCCCCTTTAGATATTTGACCTTCAAACCAATATCCTCTGGATGTTTTGCTCTGAAAGTCAGGTTGGGCAGCTAGGAGCATGAGCTTCCCATGGAGGCCTTGAACCTTGGCATATAATGTGGTCTAGCTCATTAATCAAGAGATACAGTGATGTGGCTTAAAACTTACAAAGCTCTCAAGGATTTATTTTCCTTTTAGCACAGTTTCATACTTAAGAAAGGCTGCTTCCATAATACTGGTATATAATTCAAGACTAATGACACACACTAAATACATGCAAGCCAGACTAGTCTCTCTTTTCTTTGTGTTCCTATATAGATTCAAGGGCATGCACAGCTATCTCCGTATGGGGTAGAAGATTGGAAGGAAAGTGCTATTAGACAACTATTTGTTATTGTAATAAACAACTGAGACAATCATCTTCTCAAAGGAAAGGTTTAGTTTGGCTGACAATGCTGGGGATTTCAGCCCATGTTCAGTTGGCCCCTTTGCTTTTGGAGCCTATGCAAGGGAGTATATCCCAGTAAAGAATGTGTGATGAGCAATTGCATACCTCCTGGCCTGCACAAAGGAGAGAATGTGAGAGAAAGAAGAGCATTTCATTATTCCTAACAAAGGCAAGCAAAGAATGACCAGAAAAAGCCCCACTAGGCTCCACCTCCTGAGGGTGTCCCAATCACACCATGGTGGGAAATAAGCCTTTGACATAGGGGCTTTTGAGGACATTCAAGATCCTAATAGCATATGTGGTAAGATTTTCTATTTTAGCCATGTAATTTACATCTTCAAACACTGAAATTCAAAATCCAGTTCTATTTGGCAAATGCAATTTATCTTGTCCTAGTCTTCAGTTTGTGTAACTTTTTTCTTTCATTTTACTTTTCAAAATTGACCTACAGAAAACCTTTTTGGGGAATGAACAGTCAGAAAATTGTTCATGTGGCAAGAACACGTTAAGTCTCCACAATGTGGGTCAGAATGAGAAGCATGTGTAGGACCAAAAGTGTGTCATTCTAGTTGAAAGTAACTGTTTTGTATTAATACCCAAGTATCAGTCATATTCTGGAGCAAGTAATCTATTGTCAAATTCAACATCCTAGTCTGTTGGTTTTGTCTAATTAGTTTATTGAGAAATGATGCAGGAAAAGGGTGCCTTTGAACAATCATGATGTTTAAAGCTTAAGATGACTTTATTCCTGCCAAGTTAAATCTATACAGCTGAACTGTAGCCATATATCAAAACACAAACTACATCTTTATTAATGAGGACTTACTCAATTCCATTACAATAAATTGTTGTTTGTTTTTAAAATTTTGAGAAGAGAATTTTTCAGTAATTATCTATCTAAATGAATCATCAATATATCTTTATATGGTCCTATTAATGTCATTATCTATCTTTATATGTAAGCTGGAAAATATCTGGTACTGAATTGGTACCCTCAATCCTAGCAGCTCTTACATTGCATAGCCGTGGTATCAAGAAACTTCCATATCTTTTTTGTCTCTAAACAAAACACTGCAATTTCCCCAAAGCAGTGTATTGGCTGAATTCTCACGCTCTTGCTGGGCCTGCCTTTTCATGGCTTCATGCTCTGATCTTGGTTCTTTGGTGATGGGATTTGATACTACTGGCCCAGGAATATTAGGTTTCCTTCATAGAATTGTTTTGCAGCTGAAATCTTGGAATTGATGCTGGGTTTGAGGCTTAGGCAGTGACTAGAGCTTAGTCCCAGCAGTTGAAACAGGCTTGTGCTGGAGAGAAGTAGAAGATAACGTAAGGTTCAGGCCTAGCAACGGGAGGCTAGACACACTGGGCTGGGAAGGGCTGGTCTTGGTTATATTGCCTACAATTGGCTGAGATGCTTTTGTAGAACTCACAAAATATGTCTTGGCAGTAGCTGGTTGAGATAGGCTGACTATAGTAGGCTGAGCTGCATTAGAATGATGTCGGGCAGGGCAAGCAATGGTGAGCCTCTGGTTGGCCAGAGACTGTGACCTTTGAGAAATAACTACGGTGGATTGTTGCTCTCAGCATTTATGCTTTCAGGGCTTAGAGCTCTCTGGAATTTTAGGGATGCGAAATGTTTGGCTAGGAGATTGCGATCTTAGGGAAGTGTCCATCTTGAGTAAAGTTGCCATCACTAGAAAGAAATAAAGGAAAAAATCAGTCCAGGATAATTGAGATGCTCCACCTCCTCATGTTCAAATTAAACAGCCATCTGCAAACACTGGGCAAGGAGTTTCTGTAATTCTTAGGATCATGGCCCGAACCCCATAGTTTCAAATGGGTTTAGGATCTTGGAGAAAACCTACTATCATCAGTTGGGTAATGAGTACACTAGTTGTTACTAGTGATCATCTGATGCCATTGTTTATGTCTTTGCATTTCAAGCAATCGTTTTAGTAAAATAAAAATGAAAGTGACTTGAAAAATTAAAAAGATTTTAGACTTAGAATATGACTCAATGGTTGAACGCTCTTTACTATTCTCCAGGCTCTGGATTTAAACCCAAGAACCCCATAGAAAATTAAAGAAGGAAAAAAGTTTCTTAGAGTCTATCATTTTCATAGAGCATACTCAATTATTTCCACTGTCCAGTGAGGATAACATCTCTTGTGTCTCACTATGCACTTAAAATAGTATTTATGTTTTTAGTTCTTGCTGTGTGTATTTCTGTGTGTGTGTGTGTGTGTGTGTGTGTGTGTGTGATTGTTTGTGTGTGTGTAAGTAAATTTGCCTATGAACCTAGTGATAAGGCTTGACCTCAGAGCCTTGTGCTCTTGCTTCTTGTTGTTTTTATTCCTTAATTGCTGGCTCTCTACACTTGAGCCATGCCTCTACCTTTAGGTCTTGGTTACCTGGCACAAGAGTCACAATGATATATTTGCCCAGATTGGCTTCAAACATCAACCCTCAGATCTCAGCCTCCTGAAAAGTTAGGATCACACGTATTAGCACTAGCCTCCAGCTCAAGAGAAGAGTGCTTCTTCAACAAGTAGACAAAAATGGCATGTCCCAAGCATCTTTGTTTGTGATGGAATCTCTAAACAGAAAACCAGGGGAAATTTAACTGTCTCTATTCCACAAAAGTTTTGAAGTACTTCCCAAAGAATCGAAAGCATGTCTTCCTTTGAAAGGCTTAAATCAAAAGTCAACAACAACAACAATGAAAATCACCAGGAAACTAGTACAGAAAAGGGATGAGGTGCAGTTAAGGGGAGGTAGTTAGACAAATGAAGAAAAGAAATGAGGGGGACATGGTAAAAATTTCAGTACATAGCATATAAAATTAACAAAAGTAAGGGAGGTGAGGGTTGGGAAGTAGTGGTGAGAATGTTCAAAGGGGTTACATTGACCAAGACTTACGGTATTCATAAAATGCTTTGTTGAATGGCAACTCCTTTGCATACAACTAATTAAATGCAACAACAACAACAGTAATCACATCCTCACTTAAGATGCTTCTGGTGATGTTCTATGGGTAGCACAGGTCAAATGGCTATGTTATTATTCCATTTCTTCTCATTTAATTAATTAACTAATTAATGGCAGTATTGCAGTTTGAATCCAGAACCTTGTGCTTACCACACCAGCACTCTACCACTTGTGGTGTTCCATTAAAAAAACAGGTATAAGAGGCAACTGAAGTGCAAATGTGACTCTTGCCAGTAAAGTCAGTAAACTCTGACAGTAAATGCTGTGCTAGAATGTGGGTTGAGCTAAGCACTACCGTAAGTTGCTGGAAAGAGGTACCTGAGATGAATAGCAGCCGCCATGCTGAAGTGATGGCTGGAGCCACGACTGTAGAGAAATTGTGGGCATTACCTGTTAAAGCAGTGGCATCATGTAAAACAGGTGGAGAAAGCTGCAGAGAATTTGCAGTCCCAAGTAAAGATGGAGTGTGGTTCTTGTCTACAAGAGGCAAGAGGGTGGTAGGAAAATGGATGAGATTGACAAACTCTCACTATGTTAGAAGAACAGCACATTTAAAGTTGGCTGTGAGCAGGAATCTCTTCTATTACTAATAACCAGAACCATACTAACCATCAGTTTAGAAGGGTTATAAGTGCTGGAGCCACTTGGTATTCTTCTGATGAACTTTTTCAAGCTGGGCAACTGAAGACACTGATTCATCTGGTTTCTATGTTGTTGCCTTGGCTGGAAGCAGGCTGCTCCTTTCCTGCCCTATCTTCCCCTGAGCCTGCACTTGTACAAACTCATAACTACGTTCTAGCATGGAAATATTTTAGAACTCAGATATCTTTAGAGAACTTGTCACATCACCATTTTGTGAGTGAGGAAACTGAGGGTCTCCTGTCTTCTTGATTGGTTCAAGTACTTGTATCACCTCAGTATCAGCACCAAGTTACTGGGCCTGACTCCCATTCTAGAACTCTATGCTCTGAGAAAACACCAGAACTGGGAGAATTTGGATTTAACATAGAGGACACTTGATGCTCAAGGGAAAACATGTTGCTGTTTTCATTGTTGCTATATTATTATGTCACTTTGTGTAAGTCACATGCCATTTCATAAGTTCACTTAAAATACAGACAAGATGCTTAAGATACCCTTTTCAGGATTAACTTTGGATCCAAAATCCCAATGCTTTCCTGAGAGATAGCTTCTTTCCTTTTTATTTTTTGTTAGTCATGTGTCTATGACTGTGGGCCTGGGCGCTGTTCCTGAGCTCTTCAGCTTGAGGCGAGCTCTCTCCCATGTGAGCATCAAGACCACTTTGGATTTCTGGTGACTAATTGGAGATAAGACTCTCATGGACTTTCCTGCTCAGGCTGGCTTTGAACTCTAATCCTCAGATTCAGCCTGCTGAGTAGCTAGGATTAGAAGCATGAGCCACCAGTGTCTGGCTGAGAGATTCTTAAATGCTTTTTGGAAGAAAAATGTTAGCTTTCTGAGCTTCTAATTACTCATCACTGACATACTAAGTGTTATAAAAGTAATAATGATAATAATAAGAGTGATAACAAAGTGGCATACTGTACATGACTGAAATCAAATAAGGTATAATGTTATAAAAAAGGTAGACAAAATATAAAAATATAATTTATAGAAGTAAAACTATAAAGATAAAAATGAAAATTTGGACATGTCAAGATTTTAAATATGGTATATTTACTAATAAATCAAATGATGTTATTAGATATGTAAGATAAAAATCAACAATATCTACTTCATTGAAGCCCAAACCAGCACTCAAAGTGAGCTTAAAGAAAACAGTCTTCGGAACGCACTTATAACAAAGATCAGTTGCTGTAGAAAGGGATATTTTTTTAACTTCTTCTGGTCTGACATCAGACCTGAAATCACAATGACTACCTGGTGTTAGTTTCTCAAGAAGTCTTTGTGGAAGGAAAATTGTAAACTCCCCGAAGTTCTGGTTATTGTTATAATAATAATAATAACCATAATAATAAAAATAATGAGTCATCCAAATGTCACGTTATAAATTATACATGAGAAGATATAGCAAATTCTACCATATTAAACAAATACAAAACCTATCAGATAGCCAACATCAGTGCTTCCTGCCTGTATTCCTAGCTACTCAGAAGGTTGAGATCTGAGGATCACAATTCAAAGCCAACATGGGCAGAAAAGTCCCTGTGAGACTCTTGCCACCAAACCACTCAAAAGGACTGTGGCTTAGTGGTAGAGTGCTTGCCTAGCATGCATGAAACCGTGGCTTTGATTCCTCAGTACCACATACACAGAAAAGGCTAGAAGTGATACTGTGGCTCAAGTGGTAGAGTGCTGGCCTTGAGCAAAAAAAAGCTCAGGAACAGTGCCCAGGCCCTGAGTTCAAGCCCCAGGACTGACAAAACAAAAACAAAACAATCAAAACACTTAAAAACCAGTAGCACTGTGGCTCAAAGTAGTAGAGCACTAGCCTTGAGCAAAAGAGCTCAGGGATAGCACACCGGCCTTGAATTAAGTTCCTATGACTGGAAAAAAAAAACCCAAAGCTATCATATAGAACTAAAAATGTGAGGATATTAATTATAATTTGCAGGTTGCAGGGAACACTTTGTACAAGGCACTTCTCTCTTAGTTTCTTCTCTTTGAACCCTCTTTCTTAGGCTGGCTTGGACCAGGCTAGCTTGGACTTGCATATCTCTTCTGGTCTTCAAGTTTTCTCCTCTTCGTTGAAGGAAGTTTTTTCTTGGAGAAACCTAGGTTTTGTGTTCTTATACTCATGGATGTTTCTTCCTATCAGCTTTCAGAATCAGAGGTCTTTTCAGTGCCTTGATGCCTTGAAAATGCCCTCTACACCTTAGGAGCAAACACCAAAGAGGTAGAAGACCCAAGTAACTGCAAACTTTCCCTCTTCTTGACTTTGGACTCAATTCTTTTGCCCATACTCTGCTCCCCCTAGACTTTTGTGCCATGCAGACACCTATTCTCTGGTTCATCCATATGTCATATGCATTGATGGTATTTGCTCCCTTCTACTATAAGTGAAACTAGTCCAAAGTTGTAGCTTCCTTACCCTGAGAAATGGCTATTGTGGAATTGCGTTCTCTGTCTGCTATGCCTAGCTGCAAGGTCAGGAAAAAAATGGTGAGCAAAATAAAGAGAATGCACACTAGTGGAGCACAGGCAAGTGGGGGAATCAGAGAACGAAATTCATGTGGATGTTTTCATTAGTGATTTTTTTTCTGAAAGAAGTCAACACAATCTAGCATTATTTCGTAATAACATTCTAGTGATTCAGTATATTTAGTAGAGACACTTCTCTGAATTCTGTACACTGAAGCAAAAATTTATTTAAAATATATATTTAAGATTCTTTATTCTCTTTCATATCATACCTCACATTTGTGTGTTTCTTTACTCTGTTTTAGACTATAGATTGCTTTCAAAGTTTCTGTTGACTCATTCTTCATTGTCATATTTTTTTGGAATCTAACACTATTAAACGCTATTGGACACTATTAAATGCTTTCTTCCCCCATGCCTTTAGTAGGGTTTGAACTCAGGGCTTGGGACCTGTTCCTTAGCTTTTTCACTGAAAGCTACTGCTCTACCATTAGAACCACAACTCCATTTTCTGCTATGTTTTGGTGGTTAATAGGAAGGAGGATTCTCATGGACTTTCCTGTCCAATGGATTCTAACTACAATACTCAGATATCAGCCTGCCAATTATAGTAATGAGCCACTGGCACCAGGCAAACTCTTTTTTGGGAAGCTAGGTTAGGTACTGGGGCTTGACCTCAGATCCTTGAAGTATTGCTCAGCTATTTCCCACTGAAGGCTGTCTCCACATTAGCCTGTCTGCTTCCACTTTAGCTCCATTGCTTTTGAGTCTTTGACAAGGGAGACACATGGTAAGGGATGTGTGGTAGAGTAAGCTGCTTACCTCATGGGCTTCACAAGGGTAAGGGAGAGAAAAGAGGGAGGAGAGAAGGAAAGAGACCGAGAAAGGGGGAGAGGGAGAGAAAGACAGGAAGAGAGAGAGGGAGGGAGGTAGAGATAGAGGGGGAAAGAGAGGGAGACATAAAGTGAGGGAGAGAGAGGAACAAAGAGTCTCGATTCTGTCGTAACAAGGGCAGGCAATCAATAACTAGAAGACCTCCCATTAGTCTTCACCTCCTAAAGATTCCCAAACTCCCAACTCCGGCATGCTAGGAATTAAGCCTTTGACATATGGACCTTTGGGGTTATTATAAACCCGTTTATATACTGTGGTAACATTATTTTTTATAGCCACACAACTATCATATATTCAAATGTTGAGTTTCACCATACAATTCTTCTTAGGTAAATGCAGTTTATCTTAATCTGCTCTGCAGCCTTTGTTTGTGCATTTGTTTGTATCAGTTATGGGGCTTGAAATCAGGGCCTGGGCTTTGTTCATGAGCTTTTTTTGTTCAAGGCTAGGCCTCTAGTGAAACCACAACTCTACTCAGTGATTAATTGGAGGTAAGAGTCCCATGGGCTTTCACACCCAAGGTGGTTTCCAACTGCAGTTCTCTGATCTCAACCTCATGACTTACAGGAAGTATAAACAGAAATCTTTTCAGTTGGTTGGCTGAAAAGATTATAATATCATTTAATGTGAGGTGTGAATGTATCCCATTATAACCTGTAAAATATGTCATCTTAGGGAAATCTTTTCATTTTCATATTGACCTTGTATAATCAGAGAAGTTTTTCAGAATTGTAAATGTTTGTTGATTTACTTGGATTGGAATATGGCTGCCTTGAGAATGTCAAAGGTAGTGGTCAGTCTTCTTGTGCCTTTATATATTCATTTGTCTACTTCTTTTAAACTCTTTTTTTCTTTTTATTTTAAAATTTTTATTGTAAAGGTGATATACAGAGGGATTAGAGTTAAGTAAGTCAGATAATGAGTACATTTCTTTTTTAACAGTGTCACCCTCTATCTCATTCTCTCCTAATTTGTTGCCTTCCAAGTTCCCCCCACAAGTTGTACAGTTCATTTCCAACATAGTGTCTACTGTGTTTGACTGCTGAATTGGTTCACCCTTTGTCTTATGATTTCTGTGTTTCCCCTTCTCCGCCCCAAATCAGTGAAATTTATATACAAGACAAAGGGTACAGAAATATTAAAAAAATTGACAGAAGAGAATAAACCAAAGAGAAAAGAAAAGAAAAAAGAACTGCAAACAGTACAATAAACTTCTTACTTCCATTTCTTGGAGTTCGATAACCATAATTTTATAAGATCATATGCACATAGCTATTGAGTCATTGTGATCCTCTCCTAAGAATATACTCCTTTGTTCTCAGTGTGTGATTGTTTGGATTGCTGTTTAATCAATCGTGTCCATTTGGTTTACTCATTTGGTTTACTTATAGATTTATAAGCACATTCCAATTATTACAAATTAGGGAAAACATACAGTCTGTTTCTTTGAGTCTGGCTTATTTCACTTAGTATACTTTTTTGCAACTCTTTCCTTATGAATATGGCAATATCATTCTTTCTAATGGAAGCACAGGATTCTATTGTGTATATTTACTACATTCATCCACTGAGGGACATCGGGGTGATTCCCTATCTTGGCTGTGGTAGACGATACTACACATCACCTGCAGGGTGATATATAAGGCTCTAACTTACTTTTCTGCATGTGTATAGCCAATTCTGCCAGCACATTTGTTGTTCTTTCATGCTGTATTTTTGATTCTCTGGTCAAATATTAGGTGGCTATATGTCTGTGGGTTCATTTCTGGGTGTTCTATTCTATTCCATTGATTCTCAGGCCTATTCCTGTGCCTGTACCAAGCTGCTTTTATTACTATGGCTTTTAAAGGGAGTTTGAAGCTTGTTATTGATATTTCTCAGCACTGTTTTTCCTGCTATGTATTGTTTTTGCTATTAGGGGTCTTCTATTATTCCATATAAATTTTTAGAATGCTTCTTCTATATCATTGAAGAATGTTGTTGGAATTCTGATGGGTATTGCGTATCTACATATATTTGTAGATAGATTTTGGGCAGTATTACCCTTTTCAGTATGTTAATCCTTCCAATCCATGAGCATGGAAGGTTTTTCCACTTCCTTAAGTTCACTTTAATTTCTTTTTTCAGGCTTTAAAGTTTTCATCATAGAGATCCTTTACATCTTTGGTTAATTCCTAGGTTGTTTGGGGTTTTTTTTGAGGGTATTATAATGATTTCAGCCTTGCTCTTCTAAATGTTCACACAGAGATAATCTATAATTTTTGTCAGTTAATTTTAGACCCTGCTACTTTGTCATTCACATCCTTTATTGTATTTTGGAATGTTCCATGGATTCCTACTTTCTCCAAAACTTTCATCATAAAGGGATGTTGGATCTTGCCAAATGCTCTTTCTGCATCTCGATAGAATCATGTGGTTCTTATCCTTGCTCTGTTGATGTGATGAATTATATTCATTGATTTGTGTACATTGATCCAGTTTGGCATCCCTGAAATAAATCATATTTGTTCATAGTGTGATTTTTTTTTTATGAGTTGTTGAAGTAGTTTCTGGTTTTTTTATTTGTTGTTGGATTTGTTGGGCCAGAATTTTATTGATAAGTTTGCATCAATGTTCATCACAAAGATAAACTCTAGTTCTCTTTCTTGGATGGGTCCCTATATGGTTTTGGGATGAGGGTTACAATGTGTTTGGTGGTGATATTTCCCTTTCAATTTCATTGAAGAGTTTGAAGAGTATTGGAGTGAGTTCTCCTTTGAAGGCCTGATAGAATTTGACTGTGAATCCATCTGTTCCTAGGCTTTTATTTTTGGTTGGGAGGCCATTTCTATTTCATTACTTTTATGAGCCTATTTAGTTGGTTTCAATCTTCTTAGTTTAGTTTTGTTGTATCAATATTTGCTAGGAATTTTTCTATTTCTTCCCGATTCTCCTCTTTGTTAGCATAAAGGTTTACAAAGTTTTACCCTGTAAAGTTCATGATCTTGTTTGTCTCTGTCATAGTGTACCTATTCTCATTTTAATGTTTGGGGGGAGGATGTGGTTTCTTTTTTTGGGCAGATCTGTAAGGATTTGTCAATTTTATTAATTTTTATAAAGAACCAACTCTTTGTGACATTGATTTTTTTCTATGGTTTTTTTTGGTCTCTACTTCATTTTTTTATTAGTAATTTTTTTTATTGTGAAAATACCATACAGAGGGGTTACAATTACAAGAGCAAGGTAATGAGTACATTTCTTATCAAGCATTGTTGCCTCCTCCTTTGTTTCCCCTTACCATCCCTGTCCTCCCAGCTCCACACAGCCTGCCCCCACCAAAGCTGTAAAGTTTGTTTTTCAACATATCTTATACATCTCATTGTTGCAATGGGTCCACCTGTATCCCTATTTAATCTATTTGTTTTTTCCTTTCCCCTCCCCAAATTATACCAACATCAAATACAGTGAAAACTTTGTTTCTAACATATTTATAAGATGATTTCTTTGTTGCTTTGTATGTCCCTCCCCCACTGTATAATCCCTATTTTCTACTTCATTTCTTTCCAATTTAATTTCTTTTGTTCTGTATCCTGGTTTGGGGTTTGGTTTGTTCAACTTTCTCAAGGTGCTTAACATACCTCATTATCTTGCTAATTTGAGATTTCTCCAACTTGTTGATGTAGGCATTCAGGGCTATTAGTTTTCCTCTGAGTACTGCCTTTCCTGTGTCCCAGAGGAGTTGGTATTTTGTGTGTTCATTTTTGTTAAATTCCATAAATGTTTGAGATTCCATTCTGATCTCTTGAGTGATCCACTAGTCATTCCAAAATGTGTTGTTCAGGTTCCATGGATTAGAGAATTTCCATGATTACTTTTGGTGTTGAGCTTTAATTTTATTCAATTATTACATTGTGACAGAATGCAGGAAATAATTTCAGTTTTTCTGATTTTGCACAGATTTTCTTTGTGGCCTAAAACTGGAATATTTTCCATGTACTGCTGAAAAAGATATATTCTGACGCGGCTGGATTGAATATACTGTAGGTATCTTTAAAGTAATAGGTCAAGGTTATTTAGTTCTGAGGTTTCTGAGTTTTTGCCAGGTTGTTCTATCCAGAGGCAACAGTGATGTGTTAAATTCATCAACAATCAATGTGTTTGGATCTATGTGTGTTTTTAAAGTAAGTAGTATTTGTTGATGAAGTTGGATGCTCCAGCATGTGATGTATAGATATTTAGAATTGCTTTATCCTCCTATAGGAGAAATACTTTTATTTTTATATAGTATCCTTCTTTTTCTCTTCTCACTAATTTTAATTTGAAGTCTATTTTATCTGATATTAGTCTTGGTACTCCAGCATGTTTATGGGTCTGTTTTCTTGATAGGTTTTATTCCTGCCTTTCACTTTCAGAATATGTTTGATTCTTTGGTCAAGATGTGTCTTTTTGGAGACAGCAAGTAGATGGATCTTCC